TTAAACCCAGGCCTTATGCACGCTAGGCAGTCCTAACTGAACCGTAACCCTAGCCCTTCCCTATGTTCTTCAACCTTTGCCTCCACAGGATCCTTCCCTATTGGCTCAGAAACATGCTCCATGTTAAAGTTTCTCTCTGTCTGCAATGCCTTCTGGCCCTGAATTCTGTTCCTGGCTTTTACCCCCCGACTTAATCTTTCAGTCCCCACATCTAAATATGTTGCCTCTGTGTGACCACTAAATACCCTTAAATCCCTCATAATCTGCCGGTGACCTCTGGGTTGTCAAAATCAACACCTCATCGTCCCCCACGTCTCTGTGACATTTAATCTCCTTGACTGCCCCTTCCTCTAGGAGACATCCTTTCCCTTGGCTACCAGGCCACTCTCTGTCCTTATATTCCTTACCATCTTTCTGAAAATTATTTATTTATTATCTTCTTCCTCTTCCTAATCTTCAATTCCAGTGTCCTTCCAAGATGAGTCCTTGGTCTTATTTCCTCCCTCTGTAATGGCTCCCCCTTCCCAGCCTTGAAGGTCTTCGTATAAATGAGTTGTATCTCTACATTTCTAGGCCTAGTTTTAATCTAGTCCTAGCTCCAATCCATCTTTCCTCTGTTTTTGTTTGTTTAATACAGAGGCCCTCTACCAGCCCAGGATGACCTTGAACTCGTGATCCTCCTACCTCTGTCTCCCAAGCTGTGTCAATATACCCAGTCTAATCTCATCTTTCTAAGCACTCTTAATCCCCATCCAGATGTCCCATGGACTGTGGCACTCAAAATGACCCAAATTGAACTTTGTGTGTATATAACAGGGTCTCACTACTGACTGGCCTGGAACTCACTAGGAGACCAAGCTGGTCTTGAACTCACAGAGACCCACCTGCCACTGCCTCTCCAGTGCTAGAATTAGTCCAAACTGAACATTTAGAATGTGTTCTCTCTTACATAGCAATGTATTTTTCTGACAGTTCCTCCAGTGACCTAAAGGAAGCCTGTTGGGGCTTCCTGCAGCCTGCTCAGGTTGAGAGGTCTGACTTAGGGGCCCTAACTCTGTTAGGGTTGCCTCTTCGTCCTACTCACAAGTTTGCTGGGGTCTTTATTCTCTGACTTACCCTCCTGACATGGCTGACTGATCAGTTTCCCCCAGCCCTACTTCTCCCAGTCAACATTACCAGGTACATTTTCTCAGAGTCCCCCATGGTTACCCACTATCCACAGAATAGTTTCCTCCTCAGCCACCACTCAAGGCCGTCCACACTTCCCTCCATGAGGTCAGCTCATCCTGGTCCCTTTACATGCATTCCCTTCCTGCTATACTCTCATATCTGAACCCTGCTTTCCTCAAGGCCCGGCTCCATCTTCCTTAATCTAGAAATACTCCTCAGGGCCAGCAAATGGCTCAGCAGGTAAAGGTGCTTGCCGCCAAGTCTGATGACCTTAATCAGATCACCAAGACTCCCAAAAGTTGTCCTCTGACCTCTACATACATGCTGTGGCACATGCATGCCCCTCCCTAATCAATAAACATAAATATTATTTATTTCATAAAAAGACAGTCCTCCATCCACTCAGCTCAATAACCCTACTTCAGCTTCTCATGCTCTCAAGTCTCCATGATGACAGCATCTTATCAGCCCAGGGATAACTGTAAAGAGGCAGCTGTCTTTCCTTCCTTCTAGACCAAATGCATGCCAAAATGTCTTCTGAATTCCTCCAGTATTTAAAAAAGAGCAGGCACAATAAAATAGAGGATGACTTTATAAAATGACGAACAAGCAAGCTGTGTGGATGAACGGCTTCAGATACTCGAGCACCGTTACACAATGGGCTTGGACTTGGGTTAGGAGTAGAGAATGTGCCCACCCCCACGGCAACAGACCCTGCTCTGTACAGCACACTCTCCCAGCCGTCACTCCATTCCAACCGGGAAGCATAGCGTCCAGCCCCGCCCCCTCCCAGGCCAAACCAGCAGCAGAAGCAGCCATCTTGTCTCCCTTCGTGCCCACAGGAGCTGAGGCCTTCTCAGTCTATTCTCACAAGCAGGCACCAAATGGCCAGCTCGTTGCAACCGGCCTTCTCTTCCCCTCCCTCGGGAGGTGAGTGGGCCAAAGCATAGGGAAGAGGGAAGAGACCTGAGCCCTGGTCTGGCCCACCATGAACTAGATATCTCATATATGGGACAAAACCAGAATTCCCCAACTGTGGTTCCCCGTGACACCAGGAAAAGTGTCCTCTTTCGAAGGGATGAATCCATAAGCATATCCTGGCATAGCACTGCACAGACTTCATGTGGAAAATGGGACACAAGATGCACTTGGGCTTGTCCAGCTTTCTCAAGCTAGTAGGGGACATCGCTTTGGAAGCCAGAAAGGTCAGCTCCCAAAGGTCAGCTCTGAGGCCAGCTCTCTCCCCAAGAACCCTGAATTCACTCCCCTCGAAGCCTCCCAACAGAAGACAGTAGCAGCTGAACTGTGCTGTGGAAGAGACAGGAAGTTTCCTTCTGAATATACCAGCCTTATAGGAGTGACAGCCTCAAGGAGTGACATGGACACATTGTCCTTGGCTGTAGACAGGAACCCCCAGCACACACCAAGGGTATGGGGGGGATGAATGGACACAAAACCCCTAGATTCCTGATCAAGGAACAGGAAGCGAAGGGGTCATGAATTAGCCTTTAGCGATACACACCAATGGCTTCATCCGCATCAAATGCTTTCTTAGCAGCACCTACTCACCCAACCCTAGGGAGTCAAAGGATCCAAAGCAACATTCTCAGAAACTTCCTGGGTGGCCTCATCCCGGCCCCTTTTCACATCCACCCACAGGGGCTGTCAGAGGAAGGCAGGCAGGGGAGAACACAGGGAGAACACACTGAAGCATGTGCCTCTGTCGCTGACTGGAAAGGTCCCTTCACTTCTCTGGGTTTTCCTCTCCTTCACTGTCCACAGAAAACACTGATTAAATCATCTCTAGGGCTCTTGATGAGACCCCTCGCCCTGCCAGGTGCTTAGACCACGGAAAGCACTCAGGTAATTACGAAGAACTCAGGGCAACAGGACAAGGGTGGAGCCCAGAGGAGTCTGGTAACAGGAGCCATGGCTGCTCCAAGTCCTGCTGTAGGTCCGTGTGACTAACGGCCAGAGAAACCGGGTCTTCTAATGAGAAGAGGAGGCAACAGAGGCTTCAGAGTCGACCACCCAGTCTCAAGGAAACGTGGGAGCAATGTGGGTAAGATAAAAACAGGTAGAGTTCTGGGGTTCCTAGCCTTGGACGTTGGGGTGGGGCTAGAGGAGACATGTGCTTCTTCCAGCCCAGGGCAGAGCAAAGCGGGAGGTAGATGGCAGGAGGAAGAGGAGGGAGAAGAGTCCAGTACAAAGGCACGACCTTTGACCAGGATGGCAAATTCGGGGGAAAATCAACCACTGGGGAAGACTGCTGTTATAAGGGCATAAGGAAACGGTCTGGTGTCTTATAACCTCCCACGAAGCTCAAGCAGCAGCCACCTTACAGTATCCAGTCTACACAGAGCCGTGGGCACTGAGCTGAAGGAGCAGGCAGGGGAAGCTGCACACTAATGGACTGGCAGGAGCAGGCTCACACTGGGTGCAGGAAGGCAACAGCCTGGAGAAACATTCACACAAAGCACATGTCCCTTTCCCCCATAGCAAGAGCTCTGAGCAGAGCTTTTGGAATATTCTGGATATCCACTTTCCTCTATATGAAGAGAGAAAATAAAAGATGCCCCTAAAAGGACAGAAATTCCTGGGGCTCTGCTATATGGAGGCTTCAAGGTGGCAGCCGGGGCTGGACCCGCAGAGGAGGGGCTGGGAAGGGAGAGGGTGGCAGTGGCTTCAGGCTCAGGATCCAGTTACAGGACTGTTTCCATACTTAGCCACCTGACAGCCGCTTGGAATACTCACCACTCCAGCCACCCCAGCCCCACAGACCAAATTAACTCAAGGGCAGACAAGGGCAGGGCCCAGCAGCAGCTCGATGGCCCAGAGGCCCCCAGCCTTATCTCTTGCACCCCCAAAGAATGGCTCTTGTTTCTCCTAATGCCTGTTCTCTCCTTAGAACTGTACCTCTGTAGCTCCATGGTCTCACGAGACAGAACCTTAAAGATCTAAGACCAGACCCACAAACCTCATGATCTCATGTGCAAAGACTAAGTCTAGTACAGGAGACAACCCGGGGTGTCCTGGATTCCTAGGGGGATCTTAGGGCACCTCCTCCAAAGAATCCCTAAGGGGAAGCCAGCCTTGGGAGTCTTAAGAACAAGAGAGGTGGAAAAATGATCGGGTGTCCCCTCCACAGCCTATAAATAACCCCCATGCTGCAACCCAAGCTGCCGCCTCTGTCACACAAAGTGCTGAGATGTCAAGGGAAAGCCACGCGTGCAGAGCTGAACCCCCTTCCTGATGAAAGACCCTGCCCCTCGAGAGCTCTCTTCCACTCCTCTCTGCATCTGTCCAGCTGCTGCAACACAGCCACCAATTCTCAACTCCATGTTCAATACTGTCCCATCCTGACTCCAGTTCTGTCCCGCTGTTCATAAAATGATTGCCAGCTTTGCCTACTCTGAGTGTCCCACTCTGTCCATGACATGCAAACCTAAGTCACTAGCTAGAACAGAGTCCTCCGCCCTATCTCCCACCAAGAGGGTAACTCTGAACCTGCAGTCCTGAGATTGTTATGTTTATCCATCTCACAGATCCCTCTAGGCTTGACTTGGAGGGTCCTCTTTCCAGCACGTTCCTGCCAGACTCCTCTCTCTGAACCTGGCCCAGACCTCAGAACCACCTGCTCTCATCTCTTCTTAGAACCCCTCATGGGCCCCCAGTTCTCTCTAGCATCTCATCCCGTGTCCCAGGCCCCTGTGAGAAGGGCAGTGGTACCAGCATGAAGCAAAGTTCTGCTGTCAGCCTAGCCCCTTACTCCAATAGAAACGTGGGCACATCAGGGGCCCAGTGGGGGCCATTTGTGCAGGGGGACATACCTGCTTGTCCTGAAAGCAGCAGCGAGGCCAGGCAGCAGCAGAGCAGGAGCAGCGCCTTCATGGTGACTGCCAAGAGAGCCCAGCTGCTCCTCGCCTCTATTTATATGGTGGCTGCAGGCGGCCACAGCGGGCAGTGGAGGGCGGGGAGGAGGGTCACACAGTCACTAGGGCAACTGGGCAAACATGATAGGAAAGCCACCCCGACCCCCAGGACCACGGCAGGTGTTGTCCTAGCCTCAAGCACCATCTCCCCACATGCCCAGGATCGTCTGATCCAGGGTAGAGGCTAAGAGGATAAAGTGAGATGGCCCTTGGGCTGAGGTCCAGGAGTTAGGAACTCGAGTCTCCCTAGAATATTTGCTGCCTTAACCTAAAGTCAGGTCCAGGACAGGTCCAGGACCTGGAAATTCCTCCAAGTGAAGGAATTATCAAACGAATCAAAGCCAATCCTGTTTGGTAGTCACTGATCTGCAATCTAGCAATAGGAAAAGCCTCAGCCTCTGACCTTTGAGGCCGATGACTACAAGCTTCTCCTTCCAGGGCCTCTGCATAGAGAATGCTGAGCAGAGGGAAAAGCGGACTTAGAGAAGCGCCTAAGTGATGTGATGTCAGTTGGAGGCAGAGAGACAGATCCATTTCCAGTGGGCGGGGGCTCCAGAATGTTCAGTTACCTCTGCAAAGTGCTATTTGATGCAGTCTTCCTCGGGGCTTGTGGCAGCCCACAGATGCTGGCTTGTGTGGCTATGGGGACAGTGTCACCAGGAAGGAAGGAGGTAGCAACTGGCCATGGAGTAAATAAATGAACTAAAAGTAAACTAGGCATCTGTTATGAGTAGGAACTTTACATTTCTCAAAGTTAGTTTTTATTGTACTGGAAATTGAACATAGGGCTTAGAGCATGTCAGAACACTCTACCAGAGAACCACATCCCTAGCCCCTGTGCTTTTCATTTTTAATAAACTCTGTAGACCAGGCTGGCCTCAACTCAAGGATCTGCCTGTCTCTGCCTCTCAAGTGCTGGGATCAAAGGTGTGCACCACCATGCCTAGTATACCACACCAATTTAAATGGTACAAACTGATACAATTTGACCTATGTCTGCAACATCATATGTGCCAGCACAATTAAGATAATCAACCGATCCCTCTCCTCACAGTCTGGCAACCTCTAATCTACTTGCTGTCAGTACAGGTTAGTTTGTATCTCATGACTATGGCTGTAAAGGAAATCAATGTTCTTTATCTGTTTCTTTTACTTACACAATTATTTTGTACACATTGGATCAATAGCTCATTCTTTTTTATCAATGAGTAATTTTCCATTGTATGAACAAACCACAGTTGGTCATCTACTCACCTGCTGATAGACATGTGGGTTGTTTCTAAGATTAGACTATTAAAAGTAAATTGTTATGAATATTTGTATGCATACCAGTGTACAGACAGAAGCTTCAATTTCTCTTGGGTAACTGCCTAGGAGTGGTAGCTGGAGATTTCTCCAGTCCTGCCTGGCCCACGGTCAGGACAAACCTCTCTCACCCCCGAGTCCCGCAGCCGCTCAGACCCAACCAAGTACACACGCAGAGACTTACATCGCTTACAAACTGTATGGCCGTAGCAGGCTTCTTGTTATCTAGTTCTTATATCTTAAATTAACCCATGTCTATTAGTCTGTAAGTTGCCACATGGCCCATGGCTTACCAGTATCTTACATCTCGCTTTTCATGGCGGTGGCTGGCAGCGTCTCTCTGCCTCAGTCTTCCACTTCCCAGAATTCTCCTCTCTCCTTGTCCTGCCTATACTTCCTGCCTGGCTACTGGCCAATCAGTGTTTTATTTATTAACCAATCAGAGCAATCCATTTAACATACAGAACATCCCAGAGCAAGGGGTGAAATAGTTGGGTCATATGGTGTCTGCTTAAACTTTTCCCAGGTATTTACTATTTAAGTTCCCAAAAGTGCACTCCTTTCCCAGCCTAACACTTGATCTGGTTGGTATCTGTGGTCCTGGGAATGGAACTCAAGGCCTTCCATGTGCTAGCCAAGAACTCCATCACTAAGCCATGCCTTAGCCCCTTACCTTTGGTGATTCCTTAGATGTACAGATGTAGCTCACTGCAGAGTTTTATTTTTTTTTTAAACAATTATTTTTAGTGTGTGCATGTGTGAGCACTTGAAAGGGTGTGTGTGTGTGTGTGTGTGTGTGTGCGCGCGCGCACACACACACACACGCACACACACACACACACACACACACATACACACGCCATGGTACACACAGAGCTCAGAAGACAGTTCTTTCTAACATCTGGATCTTGGGAATTGCACTCAGGTCAATAGGGTTGGTGGCAAGTGCCTTTACCCACTGGGCCATCTCATCTCATTGCAGATTTAATTTGTATTTCCCTGATAACTAATAATATTGATGTTTTCACTTATTTACTACCTATTTCTTAGGTATACTTTTTGTGAAATGCCTGCTCAAATTTTTTGTTCACTTATTATGAGATCTTTTGCTCAGTTTTGGCCCATATATGCTGGATACAAATGCTTTATCAGATAGATATATGCTTATAAATATTCTTCCCTAAACTGTAGCTTGTCATTGCCTTCACTTAAATGCCTTTGAAGGAACAGAAGTTCTTGATTTTTATCAAGTGCCATTTACCAATTTTTCTTTTATGAATTAAGTTTTTAATCTAAAAAAATGGTGTCTTATCTAAAAACTCTGCCTCAAAGTCGCAGATTCATTGATATTTTCTTTCTTATGTGTAGCCCTGTCTGTACTAGAATTCTTTATATAGACCATGCCAGCCTTGAACTCACAGGACAACCTACCTGCCTTTGCTTCCCAAGTGCCCAGTGATTTATTTATAGTTTGTGTGTGAGTGTTTTGCCCACATGCATGTAAGTGTACTGAATGTGTGCAGGGTGCCCACTGAAGCTAGAAGAGGGGATGGTTGTGAACCACTGTGTGTAATAGGTCTTTCTTGGGAGTGTTAGCTCCTGAATATCGACATGGTGACTTTTTATTAATTATGAAAGCTTGGCCTTAACTTAGGCTTGTTCCCAACTAGATCTTAAAACCTAAATTAACTCATTTATATTAATCTATGTTTTGCCACATGGCTCATTATCTCTCCTCAGAACCATACATCTGACTTCCTGTGTCTGGCAGGCAAATCTCCCTCCTCAGTTTCTTTCCCAGAATTCCTGTCTCTCCCGGAAGTCCTGCCTAGCCTCTCTTGCCTGGCTATTGGCTGTTCAGCTCTTTATTAAACCAATCAGAAGGTGCCTTAGGCAGATGAGATAAAATAGAGACACATCTTCACACAACATACAAAAAGATTTCCCCAACAACCCTGTAGGTGCTAGAAACCAAATTAAGGTCCTCTTTGAAAACAGCAAGTGTTCTTAACCACTGAGCCATCTCTCTAGCTTCCAAAGATTTTAATCTTAATGACTAACATTATTCACTTTTCAACACATACACAAAAATGAAAAGACCAAGAGTACAATTTAGTCTTTACATATGGATTTTCAGTTGTTCTATTACCATTTACCAAAAAGGCTAGTTTTTAATTGAGATTTTATTGGTTGTATTGAGGATTAATACACAAACATTTCAATTTATACTCAATCTGTAACACATATACTGAAAATGTAAAATGTCATATATTGTATGGGTTTTTTTAAAGTTGTTCCAGTTTTAAGCTTTGAGGTAAATGCTGATAATCTTTACCTGTCACCAATTCAAGGTTTGCTTGTTTTTAGATTCATTTATTTTTATTTTTATGTGTATGGATGTTTTGCCTGCATATATTTTTGTGCACCATGTGTATGCCTTGTGCCCACAGAAACTAGAAGAGGATTTCAGATCCCCTGGAACTAGAGTTACAGTTGGTTGTGAGCTAATATGTGAATGCTGGGAACTGAACTCAGGTCCTATGGAAGAATAACCAGTAGTCTTAACCACTGAGCCATCTCTCCAGACCATTTGTTGTTTTTTGAGACACAGTCTCACTATGTAACCCTGGTTACCCTGTGACCCCCAATGTAGACTAAGCTGCCCTTGAATTTAGACATTCACATGCCTTTAAACCCACCACTGGGAGGCGGAGGCAGGTGGAAGATCAGCCTAGTCTACAGAGTAAGTTCTTGGGCTCTATGGAAACCCTGTCTTGAAAAGCCAAAACAAAATTTTTTTTTCTGGGTGGTGGTGGTGGTGC